TGAGGGTGGCAGAGCAGTGGCACAGGCTGCCCAGAGAGGTGGGGGAGTCTCCCCCTCTGGAGCCATCCCAAACCCGCCTGGACGCCGTCCTGTGCCACTGCTGGAGGTGCCCCTGCTCTGGCAGGGGGTAGGATGGGGGAGCTCCAGAGGGCCCTTCCCACCCCCACCAGTCTGGGATTCTGTCAATTCTGCATCAAAGCCCTTCAGGTGACTCTGAGGAATCCCACCTCAGCCACGGCTCACCCAGGGTCTCCCCCAGGCCCACGACCAGCGCATGTGTCTCTCCTGACCCCTTGCTGCTGACAAGTAAAGATGCCTGGGGGCACATGGGCAGAAAAGGGAGGTTCAGAGGAGTAAGTGAAGTGACAGCCCACGGCAGGATGGGACACAGACGAGAACTTCACTGCATTGTTGCAGCAGTGCCCTCACTCGCTGTGGGTTTGTAAAGATACATCAAAACGGGACTGCTGAGATATGGCCTACACCAACCTGCCCATTACAGCCCTGTAATCTTCAGCCTGGGTCCTGTTGCCTATACCCAAATGAACAAGTCTACACTGAGCATTCCCAAGATATTCAACGACCAGAGTAAGGACATCTTCACTTTCCACGTCAGACTGAGCTGAAGAGGAGAGCGCCCCTGGCCACGCACATCAACCAATGAATGATTGGAGTCTTGCTGGAGTACCCACCAGCCTTTCACCCTCCAGAACAGACTCTCACCAAAGGCTCCCTCATTTCCAGAGCTTTCAAATCTTCATTCTTCCCAACCAAGTAACCTCTGGGAGTCAACTGAGCTCAAACTTCAGTAGGAAGCCCACCCCTCCGGTTGTGGGTGAGGGTTTCCCAGGTGAGATGCAAACAGGGAACATCAGACATGCTTTAAGGAAGGTCACGGCCACTCTGACTCACTAGAAATGGCATTTCTATGAGTGGTGCTTAAAGCTTCCAAGCCAGTCTCAGCTGACAAGTGCAGCAACATGGTCGTATCCTGGTGAGCATCCCTCAACATCTCCTTACTGCACAGGTTATGGCAAAGCAGCTGGACCTGCTTTTAAAAGGCAACCATGCAACAACACAAGGAGAGACATGGGTACGTGCTGGATGGAGTCCTTAAACCCAAAGCCAGACAACACAGCAGAATCGTACTTGTTCTGGGAAGAGAGAGCCCCCTCTTTGGAGAGGGGCTAGGGAATGAAGCAAGGCTCACCCTTAAAGTAGTAGATCTCTACAGTCATTCATTCATCTCCACACATGGAGAATTGAGCCTTCAGGCCTGTATAACCCGCAATTTCTCTGCTCCTAAGGGAGTCTGGAACGGTAGGCACTTGCGGCCAGAGATGAGTTACATTGCGAGAGAAACAGCAATGTTTCCAGTGAGTGGACAATCTGCTTTCTCTAATGGCGAATTTAGCATATAAAAATAACAAGTTCAGAAGAGTTACGGAGGCGGGTACGCTTTATAAGCACTGCCTTTCCCCTCCGCTGAATCTTCAGCATCCATGGGCAAGCAGAGGACCCAAGAAATCGGAGATGTGCACAGTGCTTTGAGCATGTACAACTCAGGTTCACGGAAACATGACCTAATAACGATCATGACAACAAACTACTCCAAAATAAACACCATGAAAACTATCATCATCATCTCAGTGTCTAAACCCATGGCCACGCGGGTGTTGAAACATTGGCTATAGCTCAGATCTCAAAAAACGAGCTGAAGCATTTGAAATTGAATAGAGAAGGGCAAAAAGAACAACTAAAAGTTCGGAGCAGCTTCTAGATGAAGACTGAATAGGATTCCTCAACCTAGAAGTCACGCGGGAGGTAGACAGGAGAGGTTTGTAAAAGCATGAACGGCCTGGGAAATGTGAAGAAAGAAGAATTGGTCACAAAACAGGAACCCGAGGGCTTGAAATAATGTTATTAGTCAGAAATCACATAGAAGCAGTAGTTCTTTCCCAGGGAATATTCCTTCCTTTGGAAGGCAGTGCCACGGGAGGCTGTCGAGGCTAACAGCTATAAATCCAGAGAGCAACCCGACAAATTCTTGTAAAATAAAACCATCGGAAGCTATTAAAGTATAAAGCCTCCAGCACAGAGCAATGCTCACTCCAGAGCCCGCGGGGGAGAAAGCATATGCACCGCCTGTTCCTACACGCTTTGCTAAGCATCCCCTATCGCTGCTCTCCTGGAGAGGAGCCGGGGACGCAGCCACCCTGACACTCCTGGATCCGAGGACTCTTTCGAAGGCTGGAGGGTTTGCCGGAGCATCTTCTACCTTAAAGAGAAGCGTTTGACGTGATGCCGAATATCTAAACCCGCCAAGCGCTGGGTCCAGCGGAGCGTGGCCGGAGGAAGGCGCAGCTCTGCCGGGCAGATGAACTGACACAGCGAGCGGAGCTGTCAGGGATGGCCAAGGGCTGCAGGCTTCATGGCGTGGGTGCCAAATGAGATGTGACATTTCATTTAAGACTCTTGGCTGTTTAATATATGTTTTTTAGGGGAAAAAAAAAAAAAGCCAAACCCAACCACCTCTATACTGTAACAGTGATGTAGCACTAGGTATTTCGCTTGACAGGGTAATGTCTGTGGTGTGTAGTTTGGGATGCTTTGCTGCCACGAAAGCACATTTACTGAATCTAGATGTGTCTGCCCTATCATTATTTACACAACAGGATCTTATTACAGGCTGTCAATTCTCTCATTCTGACACGCTTTTCATGCATTTCCTACTGATGGCAGGACGCAGAACTCCCTCTCCGACCCAAATGAAGCAGTGCCTGAACTTGAAATTAAAAGCTAGATTTTTTTATCCAGCAGCAGAGCAGATGCTTTGGGTTGTGCACTCCTGAACGATGCCCTTTGACGCAGCAGAAACACCACTGGCTTTTATTCCAGCATCCATCTGCATCACTACGGATGCAGGTTATCTTAGCACGTCATAACTTGCCTTGAAGCAAGAAATCTAGTATTGGTTCATCCTTCCTGGGGGCCTATTCTGCAGGAAAAAAAAAAAAAAGAAATAAAGGGAATTTACAGAAGACCTAAAACATCTTTCTGAATTCTTCTAATGCTACATGATCATCCTGGTGCAAGAGGGAATAGTTTCCAGAGCAGTACAAGTTGTTCTTAAACAGAAAGACAAGTTTTGTTTAGCCTGAAAGTATAGCTCAATGAAGGGATGAGCAAACCCCCAAAGAAGATTTCAAAACAAATTTCAGGTTTTATGAAGAATGCTTTCCTAGGATTCAACAGTGGTACTTTCCTTCATTGATTGCTGCTCTAAATATTAGGACGCCGGTAGCCAGATTGATTAGACTGAATAGGAATAAAACAGCACCCTGCTGCATTTCATCCTCACAGACATATTCTTCCTTTACCCCGGTCACTCCCACTTTGCTGAATGGGGATTTTAAATCTTTTTCAGAGTGCACGACAGTCAAATTTGGAATATATGGGTAGCGCAGAAAGCAAGTTCAATTTCATTTGCCAGGTTTGTTGAAAGACTCTGCCTTGCTCTCATCTCTTCTATGAACACAGCTGACAAGAGATGGGTCCTTCTGCTTTCTCACCGAAAATACACACAACAAGAGCCAAGCTCTTGGCTCAAAAGGGTGTTATTGTACCTCCATAGCGATCCGCCTTAAGCAATTCTTTTGCTGCTGCGACTATCACACCCAACTGCCTCCCCGCTGCCGGTATATTCTTGTTTTTCAAAGAACACGCAAAGGACCGCTATCACCAGTGGAGAGTGAGTCACTTCATCGGGCTAAGGGACCTCTGGAAAGCCAAAGGAGTCACCTATGGCTGGATCCAGCCCTCCCCACCATATGCTTTTTGCTGTGTCTCCCACGGAGCTCCCCCTAGATCGCAGCCAAGATCGTTCCTCCGAGC